TTTAACCCATGCATGAGGCCAAAACTCCCCTCAAGACTCCATTTTTATGATACTAAAGGACCAAGGGACCTCAGATCTACCATTTCCATCTTCTAGAGTTGCTAAACTCACAAGAGGAGGTCCAGAATCAACAAAAGAGACAAAGCTAGAAAACCATAGCTAGATCTAGAGATTTAAGTGGAAAGATTCAAGCTTTTTACCTCCAGGAAATCCTTAAGGTCGACTATATGCAGATTCTTGAAGCCAAATGACACTCCAAGCTTCCTTGACCACCTCCTTCTTCTTGGATGAACACAAAAGGACCACAATTTCACTCTCAAGGCTCAAAATGCACTCACAATGGATATTAGGGTTTTCAGAGGCGTTTGAAAGTGAGGGAGGCTGTTAAGGGTGAGGATTAAAGGAGTTAGGGGCATTTATATAGGCTTCAAGTCTGAGTTTTAGGGTTTGAACATCCTGGCATGTACGCCCAGCGTACATGCTGTCCCTCCGTGATCCTCCTTGCCAAGTACGATAAGCATACTTATAAGTACGCCCAAAGTACTTAAGGGTCTCTTGTGACATATTATTAATACTACAAGGGCTACAAGGTCATACCTGGTTTGGAGTGTTACATATACTCGGATTTGTGTGTATATTTGTAGTTGCACTTCAGATTTGGAACCATTGAGGGTTACCATGGCATAAAGGTGCCAAGTTTATGGCCATGGGAGACCCATGCAACATATAAACCCCTTTTTATGGCTTTTTGAGCCAAAATCTCTATCCATCGACATCAAGTTCATAACTTTACGTATAATAGGACCCTATGAGGTCATATCTATGGTTTGGGTGCATTTAGACCGATTAAAATCGATTGTATAGTTTAAGGCAAAGAGGGACTTGGCAAGTCGTTCATGGGACTCAGCGAGTCGGGACATATTTTCCATCAAATCCTTTCTGTTGATGGACTAGATGCTAAGATTGAAGGTCCCTCAATTGTTTAAGCTCATTAGAGACCTGGAAATCATAGAACTCGACGAGTGTATGAGCTAACTCGGCTAGTTCAAGGCAATGTTCCAACCACATGAAGACAGACTCTACGAGTTCAAGTGGAACTCTGCGAGTCATAGACTGAAATCATTTATATGGATGCATATGAACTCGACAAGTTCAAGGATGAACTCGACGAGTCGGTTGAAGAAGGTCCAGTGTGTTATTGAAGGCGAACTCCTTGAGTTCTTGCTATACTCGACGAGTGGGGACGAGGTTGTAGCTTCCCGTGGACGAGGGGACTCGACGAGTTGGTGAACCAACTCGGCGAGTCTGGTCAACCAGATGTTGACTTAGACCAAAAGTTGACTTTGACCAAGGTTTTGACTTTGACTTGGAATTTAGTAACCCTTGTAAGGGTTATGAGTATGAATTGGTAATGTAGAAAGGATGTTGTGTAGGTATCGATGAGTTGAGAAGAGTTGATTTCCGTACTGAGGATAGGGCAGACACTACACGACATTGAGGTGAGTTACCTTCCAGTAGAAGCGGGTCTAAGGCACTAAGGCCGACCCACTAGTAGTTAATTATAGTTGAGATGATTGTCTTTGTGATAATTGTTTGGTTTACTACTACCTGATATGTTATATGTGCCAGTATGACGTACTATATGTGAAAGTGGTAGTAGGAGGGGAATAGTCTCATGATTCTGTCGTTAGGACTGAAGGGTAGGTCGGACACCCCAAATATGTTTGACAGCATGATTATCATATGTTATTATGTGATAGTGGTAGGGGTGAAATAGTCCCCGTGACCAGGTGAGATAGACCGAAGGGTAAGCAGGCACCCCAAAACGGCCTGACACATGTAGGTCAACACCCCAGAATGGCTTGACATGGGTAGGTCGGGCACCCTAGAATTGTCCGGCAGTATGTGTGATTGTATAATATGTGGTATGATGGGAGGAGCTCACTAGCCTTTGTGCTTACGGTTTTCAGTTTTGGTTTTATGTACCTCTTCATCTAAGGGGAACGCAGGGTAGCAGCGCATCACACATACATGATTCCGTATTTGAGAACCCCGGAATTGTACTCTGACATTATACTATTTGACATTATGGTTTTTGAGACATGTAACTATGGTTTTGTGGTTTGATGTGATATCAGTACTGTTTTTTCCTCAAACAATTTTACAAGTAATATAATTAAAAACAAAAAATTTTGGTCTTGATTTTTGGGATGTTACATTGTGAAGATGGCATGATGTGCTTTTGATTTTGCTACCAATTTTTGTTTTTCAGGCCTTATCAGCTCCAAATCAGTTCCAACTTCTACCTTTTGCTCCCAACCGCAAATTTAGCTATAATTATCTAATTCAAAGCATTTTACGTATATTATCTTTAATTATATAAATTAAGCTCTAAATACTAAGAAAATTACCCCAAAATATATGGCTAAATAGGATAATATCAGTACCAAATTCAACTAGAGTTGCCCTGATGCCTAAGTGACCACCAAAGGCACTGTTAGCATGTGAAGACAAATCAGGAAGATTGGTTGTTCTCTATGTTTGAATAGAGATGTTTAGGTGAATATGTTTTGAGTCATGATTGGACATTCCAATCACTACTAGAGATCTCATCATGGTTCATATGAAGCTAATGTTTGAGATCCTCCATCTATGTAATGTCCAAGAGATGATTTCATGTTGGAGGTTATAAACGTTCAAAAAAAAACCCTAAAGTTTTGAGATCCTCCATCCATAAAGTGTCGAATAAGTTTACTCATTGTGAAATGTTACCCGAGACAAAATGGACTTAAAGGTAAACAACAATAACTTACTTGCAAAACCGTCTCAGTACAATGTTAAAATAAATATATCATAATCTTGTGGAAATAGCCTTGCTATAGGCTTTGAAAACAAATTTAATCTTGTGACTCCAATTAAGTAAATCCAAATTGATTTCGGTTTTCAAAATATGGATTCAAATAGTCCAAACTAAATTCAATCTGATTCGATCCAATTACAATTCGGTTGGATCGGTTTTTATAATTCGGTTTTCAAAAACCAAAATATTTTAAAACGATATATAATTATAATATGAGAAATTAAATAGTCTCCTACTTTTTGTTCCTAATATCCTCCTACCTATTTTAGATGGTGACAAGTATCATTAAATTTAATTTAAATTTGGTTGAGATTTTTGAATTTGTACAATTGCCATCATCTTAAATAGGTAGGAAGAAAAGTAGGAACAAAAAGTAGGATGATATTTAATTTCTCTTATAATATTATCCAATTTTTATAGAAGAAACAAAAACAAATAATTTAGTTGCCATTTAAAATTTATAAACAAGTACTAACAAGGTATATTAGAGTTTAATATCTAATAGATAAAAAAATAAATAAATAAAAACTTTTAAGAAAAAATAAATATTAATGTTTTTTATTAGGTGAAACTTTTTGAATTTATTTGAAAAAATAAATTAATAAATAGTTATAGATATATTAAAAATAAATAAATAATAAATTGTTATTCTGTTTTTTTGGACTATTCGGTTATTATTTTGTAAACTAAACAAATTCCAAATCCAAAATAATAATTCGGTTTTGTTGAAAACCAATCTAAAAATCTGAATATGTGAACTAAACAATCTGGTCCAAATTGTCCAATTGAATAATTCGGTTTTATTCAAATATTAAACAAACCATGCTTGTGATAGGATGTAAATAGAGGAGCTTCATCCTCACATTAACATAATTCCATTTCAACATTTTTTTACTAAGGTTTTGTTTCTATGTTAGAGAAGTTATTAAAAAAATTGTAGGGGTCTTTATAAAATAAACTCAATTTACTTGTTGGTAACATGTTAAAATGTTAAAATAACAACAAATAGGTGAATTTTGAGTATTTTTTTGAAGAAAAAAAGGTGTTAAGTAATTTTTTTTTTTTGAAAGTCGTGTAATAATTTAGAATCGTCCATGCAAGCATTCGTTTACATTGGTAACCCATAAAATATAATCCCATAAAACATAATGTTATTTGTTTAGAACTTCATTTTATAACCTGAATGATGACAGTAAAATCTTAAGTTATAAGGTAAAAACATTTTTTTCAAGTACAAACTAACAACCAAGATAACTTTCAAAACCCAAACCTCGTGCTCCCCCCATAACTTTCAAAACCAACCAATACCAACGAAAAAATTGAAGGGTTAAACCCAACCCATAAATTGGTAAAACAGTGAAGCATTGTGGCGTAAATAAAAATTTACATAATGAAAAATCATTGTATGAACTTATAAATCTACTACACTTACCTACTTCATCTTTACTCTAATAAATAAAAATATTTTTACCACATGTTATACTCTCATTGATTTGATTACATGTCATTTTGTGATTATTTTCAATTAAAAATTTTCCACATACCATTTTGTAGGTTTTCTATTTTATTAAATTCCAAAAAATATTTAAATATAATAATTACAATAAATATAATAATAAATGCATATCAAATTTAATAATTAACTTTCTTTTTAATTTAAACATTTCTAAATTAAAATTTTATTAGTTTCTTTTATTTATTTATCTAAATTATTTGTTTAAATTTAAATGAAAAAAAAAACACTTTAATTTTAATAATTCAATATTTTTCTTATTAATTCAAACTTTTTCAAATATTTAGAATTTTCATATTTAACTTTTTATAAATAAACTCATATAATACATAGATCTTACACCTAATTATTTATTAATATTCTTACATGTTTTTTATTTATAGGTTAAACTTTATAGAGCTATTTCCAATCAAAAGGACATTTTCCTCTTTTGTTCAAACAAGATATCAAAAGCAAATCCTTTATCCATGTAAGAAAATTATACTTTTTTATCGATATCAGTCACAATCACAAGTTAACATTACCAATCACAAGCTAAGTTAACATGCCAAAATGGCCAAGTTAACATTACCAGTCACAAGCTAAGCATTCGGGGTACAATAACACATCTAGCAATAACTACACATTACAAAAAAAAAAAAAAAAAAAAAAATCATTTCTTAAAAAAAATTTAACTACACACAGCTCAATGAACACAACGTAAAAAAAAATATTACCACTCGTTTTACTTTTTACAGTCTCTGCTTCTTTGAAACAAAGCGGATTCCTTGTTTTCCAAGATCCACATTCATTGCTTTTCCATCATCTAAAGTAACCAATACAGTTGACGTATCTTCACAAAATTCAATTATTGTTCCCTTGTGCCTAACATTATATCAAATCACAATTTTTCACAAAACTTAAATGCAAGTTTATGAACTTCAACAATGTCATTTCTTATAAAACTCACCAGGAATTATTTGATGGGTGATGAACTTCAACGATTTTTCCAATTGCATGTTTTCCCAACTTTTGAATTATCCATTTCGCATCCATGATCTCATCATACGAGTTTCCATCCCCTTTCTTCTTATTTTTATTTTTATTCTTATTATTATTATCTTCTTCTTGAACAAAAGATGATGACTTATCCATAAAAGTCAAAGGTCTCTTTCTCTTTGACCTTTGACCCTTCACAAAGCTCTGATCATCTGAATACGGGTTCTTGAATTTCAGTCTCAACGAAGGCGTAACTTTTTCACTTCCACTGCCAGGTGTCACGCTCCTATTCGTGCTCCTTTTACCAAACGAAACACCGGTTTCATCATCATCATGGTTTAAGTTGTCTCCTGCAGATAAAAATATAAAGAACAAATTTTTATTTTTATTTTTGAAAAACTTTGTAATATATAAAGTTTTTATAAATTAATTAATAAATAATAATCATTACCTTCTACATCAGAGAGCTTAGATGAGTTTGCATTTGCAAGCATGTCCAAATAATTATCTTTTGGTCTTTCTTGTACCATGTCTTCACCACCTGTAATAAGCCACACAAACATATAATAAAACAAAGCAAATATTTCAATGAGTAAATTACACAAATGGTCCCTATGGTTTAGGGTAATTTGCACATTTGGTCCCAAGCATGCATATATTTCCGAGTTAAAAAAAAAAAATAACTTAGGGTTTAAATAAGTTAGGGACCAAGCATGCAAATTACCCCAAACCATAGGGACCATTCATGTAATTTACTCAAAATTTCAAATCAAAAATAAATTTTTTCAAAAACATACGATTTGGAGTGGTCAACGGTTGGTCAACGAGGGAGTTTGACACATCAGACCTTGGAGAATTTATTGAAGTTTTATGTCTCCCACCCAAATGTATAACCAATTTTCTCCCCTTAATGTCCTTTGATTTAACATCTTTTCCACTCTCCTCCTTCATTCTACCTTTAAAAAACTTAAAACTTGTCCCAGAAATCTCATTAACAAGCTTGTTTTTGTTTTTATAAAAATCCGATTCGCTACTTCTAAAAGACTCCACATCTTCATCTTTATTATTATTATTATCGCCTGTGATGGATCCAATAGATTGAGCATCACTGTGTCCTTTTTCCTTTCCATATCTTTTAGAAGATTTTTTTTTGTTTTTTTTATTAGGGGATTTGTTTTCGATTAGTCCTTTGAGGGAAAACTTTAAGGAATGGCCATATTCTTTTTTTAGAGGAGGGGGTGGGGGTGGGGGTGGGGTATCATCATCTTCATCTGAATAAGGTGAAATTGCAAATATTTCTTCTTGTGTTGGTAATCCTGCTGCAGCTCTTAAGCTGGTGATTAAGTCATGTTCAGCTTTGTCTCTTCTTCTCCAGAGCTCCTGAACAGCATCTTCAAGATCCCGAACCTGAAAAAGTAAATGGATTGGAATATGATTTTGTTGGATGGAATTGAAGGAGGAATGGAATGGAATTGGTTATTGCATTTCTTGTTTGGTTACGCGTGTAGGAATGGATTGGATTTTCATATGAATTTTTTTATTGTATGTGTAAAAATACAATGTAAAGTTTTAACTTTATTCTATACATTATATATATAACTAATGATTTTTTTCATCGACAAAAGCAAAAAAGTAAATAAAGTAAAAGCTTGTCAAAAGCCAAATGAGATAATAACGAAAAGGAAAAAAAATTGTTTTTGATTTGCTTGTAGAATATAGGGTTAAACTTATAAAAGACCTTATGATTTGTATTTTTTAAGGATTAAACCTCAACTTTATTTTTTTTTTCTTGAAAAAGACCTTGCATTTTTTCATTTTTTCCAATTTGGCCGTTTTAGTCTTTTTTTTTCTGAAAAAGGTTGTAAAATGTGAGGGGTTTTTTAGGAAAAACTAAAAATGTTGAGGATTTATTCGGAAGCAGTTGGAAGGTTGAGGGTTTTTTTCAGAAAAAAGACAAGTTTTTTGGAAAAAAATGAGAAAACACAAGGTGTTTTCAGGAAAAAGAATAAAGATAAGGTTTAATCTGGAAAAAACACAAAATATAAGGTCTTTTATGAGATTAACCCTAGAATACAAACTGTAACTTAATTAAAATCGCCAAATTTTTTAAAGATTTGTAACACTAACAAAAGGGTTTTATGCAGAAAAGTCCAATCATTTGGGGAAATTTTTTGATAAAGTTTGAACAGAAAAACCCTGACTATTTAACATTTTGCCCACATTAACAAAAAAGTCATTTTTTATTTTAATAGGAAATGACAGATTATGTGATTTTCCCAAAATAATCAGACTTTTCTTTTCAAAAAAAAAAAAAAAACATTTAGGACTTCATCAAAAAATTTCCCAAAATAATGGGATTTTGCTGCATAAATAAAACCCCTAAAAAATACATTAAATAAAAATGGGTTATACTCCAATATTTTATTCCATTTCATGATGGAATAAAGAAAAACAGCCCCTAAAGAACGAAGACTAACAAAATGCTTTGAATCATCTGAGAGTTCTATTCCAATGGAATGACCAATTCCATTCCTTCCATGATTTTTTTATTTATAATTAATTATACCTGGTAACATTCTCCACGACATGTAGCACAACTGTATTGCAAGTGATTATCCACTTGAAACTGTAAATACCTTTCATCACTGCATAAATGTTCCACAGTTATAAAAAATATGCATTTTATTTTTTTGGCTTTAAGTAAGAAATATCAACAAACTATCAATCAACTATATAAACAATCTAACCAATTATATAAACAGATTGTTATAATATTAGTATGTAGATTGTAACAAAAATAAAGTTCTTAATAGTTAAAGAAGCTGTATACGTTGAATTATGTATTAGAGCTTTCAGTTTAAATACATAAAGCAATAGAAATAATTAAATATATCATAAAAAGGTGGAAAGAAAACCTAATTCCATCACAATGACAATGCACCCATCTTTGACAGACATCACAACAAACCATGGGTGTTGATTCAGAGTCTCTATACACCTGTGAGTTAATTCATACAAAAACACACTATCAGTTAATTTATAACAACAGATATTTAAAAAATAAATAAATAAAGTTACCTTTAAGCAAACAGGGCAATAATTTCCCTTCACAAATAATCGTCCACAAGCATCACAACAAGTATACCCAAGAAACCACCTTCAAAATTTTATAGTTGTAATGAGTAATTTTGATATTAAAACCTCAAACAAAGTTAATAAAATATACTTTACATTAACTTTTTGAAACATTAAAAAGCAATTTAGTTAAAGTTGTAAAAAACTGTAAAACATGGTTAAGTTATAACTTATAATTTGCATTCAATTCCACAATGTAAATGAGAAAAAACAGCCTCTAGCCATGGAATGAAATCATTCGAATGGAAGCAATAGAATTGTCAATTCCATTCCATTGGAGATTCTAATTCCATTCCTTCACTAATTCCATCCTACCTGAGACTTGAACCATTCCCTGGGACTGTAGATGCACAGCTGTGACACTTTGTATGCTTAGGGCACAAATAAGGTCCTTTACTCACATTCTGCAAAATTTCAAAAACTTTAAAAAAAACATCATTGATTATAAAAACAATAAATAAAATAATAATTAATCCATACTTTACCTTGTGAGGAGGATGCTGACAGTAACAATGATATGCAGCATCACACCTTTTGCAAAACATAAGCTTGTTTGGATCACCTGTTCTTCTGCATACCTATAGTAACAAGTTGTTCAATATATATGCTATTTTTTATATATATGTCACATACTAAATAAAAAAAAATAATCATTCAATAGGAAATAAATTCCTTAATGCATGGACAGGATTGTTACATGTTGAGTAAAAGTTTTATAACATAGAATTACCTCACATATTCGACATGAAGGACATGTCCAAGAAGTCCAATGAAATAAATCTGGAGTCAAGATTTCAATTAGGAAATAGGAATAACAAGATATAAGCAATAATGACATTTATTAGGAAAAACAAAATGTACCTCTATCATGAGCCCAAGTTTTCAAACAGCTTCTGTGATACTTTTTGTTACAAGTTTTACATGATAGCATCTTCTTTGCTCTCACACTTCTTTCATTTTCTCCAGAAAAACAAAGGCGACACATTACTTTTCCATTAGAGATAACTTGCTCTTCTCCAGCTAAATCTTTATTTACACCCTGATTTAAACATATGAATGAGAGATGATATGACATCACTTCCCAATGTGTGAATAAAGGTTTGACCATTTAGGTCAACATATTCACCAAAAAAGATGAAGTGAAGATATTATGTGAAGTATGGATTCAAGTTCTTTTATCCTCTTAATATTGAATCTTTAGAGAGTTTACAAGATGATAGTCCATATAATTGAAATTACTTACTAATGTTGCAAATGTTATCTCTATAAACTATAAGAATCACAGTTTGAAGCTTTCAAAATGCAAGAGCTAGAAATGTATTTGCAGTTTTTTCTGTTACAGCCATGGCTTTTCTTTAATACAGAAACTTGCTGTTATCAGTTACCTATCAGTGAATGGCTTTCCCCATGACTATGACATCAAGTTATGCCATGGATTTCATTTTCAAGTTCGTTTTCTATAGACTTTTTACACACGTATACAAATGCTATAAGAGGATGAACTTTCGTCAATAGAGATGTCTTGACTTAATTGCTTGTTTCAAAGAGGATGTAACAGTTTAACACCTGTTGTACATAATGATTTCGCCAAAACACACCCAACCCTACTCCCCACGCATCTCAACTAACACAGAATTCCGGAATAAATTTATAAAAAATTACGAAAAAAACATCTTACCTCCGGATCTCCAGATTCAAATCTCCGAGCATAATCCTCCGCCACCAATGACGCGGCAGCCGCCTTCTTTTGCATCGCCGCCCGCTTATTCTGTGCCGATAACATCTCATCCGCAGCATCTTCACAACCTCCATCAACAACCACAGCATTAGGAGTCACTGTCAACTGTGGCGGAGGAGGCGTAACATCGACCTTAGGGACAAGAACCTGTACCCTTTTCTTATCGTCTTTAATCAACCATGGATCATCCAAAAACGCCTTGAGCCTATCAATTTCCTCCAAGAACCCAATTTGCCCCTTTTCATTCTGTACCTCCCGTGGAAACCCTAGCGAGCAGTAGCAAATTCGACGACTAGAATCAAGAGAAAGAAACTGTTAGACAAGATATGGAGAGAGCGGGAAATATGTATACGCTTGTTATATATACATGGAATTTGGTGGTGAAAAACAGATTACCATGTAATTGGGCAGGCGACGTGAAAGGCCATCGTAGCAATGAGAAATTGAGGGGTTTTTTGATGAGATTTTAAAGGTTTAAGCGATTTTATATTTAAAGTTTTAAAAGGACAGAAAAATTGATGTCCCTGTCACCATATTATTAGTTAGGAATATTATATCTTTAAATTATTTTATACTTCATAAATTATTTATATAAAATCAAATCTTGTTACACACAATTTTACTCTATCATTATCACCGTTAGATTTAATAAACGACACGTATATTCGTCATTTCGTGTATGAGTTTATAAACTAGTGTTAACATAAATTTTAAATTGTGTTGTGTTGTGTCTTACACGTGTTAAACACAAATTTATATGTTTAAAGATTTATTAGACACAAATTAAATTTGTGTCACACGTGACATGTATAGACACAAGACATATATATACGCATATAAACACGATTTAGATGCATGTTTTCCTGGCTTAAAAATGGTATTAGAAGATACATGTATAAATTCGTATGATCGGTGTTTTCATGTAACACGGTTAAAATGTATATATTCATGTCGTGTCATATGTCACATGGCTTAATTACGTGTTGTGCTCATGTTTGATACACACAGCATGTTTTACAATTCATGTCGTGTTCATGTTTTACAAATTTGTTTCATGTGAATTCGTGTCTAACATGTATGCAAGACACACAAAACATGTATTGCTAGGTCAAATCACCGTCACAACCTTTTTGTCATCTTGATTTGTCCCTTCAGTCTCGCCTCGTTTGGAGAGGTTAAGACGCGTTAAAGCTTGAGGATAGCCTCTAAAACTTGCAACAACTTAAAATGGCTATCCTCCAATATACAACATTAATAAGAGTATTTGTTATTAGTAAGGTTCACTTATTATATCAATCATATACATCCACATACCACATACTTTCAGATAATCTCATAAAACATATGTTATAACGAAGGTTGTAAAAATTGTTAGGCGGTACTAAGTCGATCGACTAATGACCAGGTTTTAGTCAGCCTAGTCGAGGGATTAGTCGGTAACCGGTCTGAGACCCCAAAGTGTAAATTCATTTAAATTATATATATATATATATATATATATATATATATATATATATATATATATATATATATAGAGAGAGAGAGAGAGAGTGTGTGTGTTGTGTGTGTCAGAGAGAGCTAGGTTCAAATGTTTATAACAACTATTGTGTGCATGAATGCACCAATAGGAATTTAGGAATAATTAAATAAATAAAAATTATTATAAGGGTAATTATGTAACTTTAGCATAATAATTAAAATAATACACTTTAATTCATGGAAATTACCATAAAAATCTCTTTGACCAATTATTTAACCCTAGCCTCTCATATGATACGTATTCTATTTTTGTCTCATCCCATTTTCTTTTCTTATTGACGAATGAAGAAGAAGCCGTGGATAAGAAGCTGCAAATGTGTTTCCCCATTCAGTTGACAAGATGAAGATGTTATTCTCGGCGACTCCATCTCCGAAGCTAGCTTCTATCTCCAATAGTTGGTCAAAGAGATTTCTGCAATTTAATTTACCAGACTTGCGATTCCATTCCATAGAAAACATATTTTTTTTCTTCGTTCTTCCAACTAGCCAATTTCTACAATTTCAACTTTTAGTTTTAGAATTTTATAATGGTGTTGAAATATATTGTTGTTTATATGAATTTGATGTTGATGGTTCTGAATTGGATTTTTTTTCATTCATGATTCATAGAAAATGTGGTGATTTAGGGAGCATCCATAAAGTGTTTGATGAAATGCCAAAGAGAAATATGGCAGTCTCTGATTGTATTCATGGTTAGAGATGAAATGTTTATTGTTGTGCATCTCATCTCCTAAGGTAAACAAAATAAAAACAGTGAATTATGTTATTCTTGTTGATAATTTTCATAACCAAAACATAAAACGCGGAAGCATAATCTTGGATCTTTAATCTCGAATCTGGTTAAAAGAAAACTTAAATAATAAAGAACGATTACATACCTGATTCATTATGATCTTCGGATCTGAAGAGCTAGAGTTAGGTTTTCCAATTGATCTCAAGAACCCTCTCTAAATCCCACAGCAAACCCTAAACGAATTTACATGTGTATGTATTTTCGTATTTTGTAAATCTGCTTCTCATCACGTATTTATATAGATGGAGATATAACCGAATGTGAGAGATATTAGGGATTCAGGAGATCTTGAGTCAAACCGGGAACTCAACTCACAAGATATACATGGTAAGTGTATATCTTTATTTATTAATAAAATCGGTCCATCAACAATTTTATATAATTTCCATAATAATATAAAATTAATGATAACATTATTTATATACATTTATTAGTGGTTCCAAAATATCCAACAATCTCCCATTGGACCACGAATGCATAAATGTATATATAACTGTATAAGCGCTTTAATGAATGTTATCATAGTATTGGTACCCTTAACCAATCTCGTCCACTAATCATACATGTATAGGATCAAAGCGGTCTTCGTTACAATTTACGTAACTAAATCTATCAATGGTCACATATACATATATAAGTAACGACATAGATTAAACATGATGTGTGGTTTTAAAATCTTAATAGATTTCCAACGAGTTCCTCTTTAGATTGAAGTGAGATCAAACTTCAAATAAGTGCAACTAATAATGGAGTTAACTGAATTCTTAATTCTGTACAGAAAAACATAACTGTTGTTAAACAAAACATAAAGCACCATAAAACTCCCACTAAAACCAAATATCACACCAATGTGTGTAGTATGCTCATGAAAGACCTAGGGAGGTAATCCCTTTATGAGTGGATCCGCTTTTATGGAGTTTGTTCATATGTGCTATATATATTTCCATTTTGCACTATTGTATTAACAGAAGGAAACTTGATGTCAATATGCTTTGACTTAATAGAACTTCTGTTATTGGAATATAACATGGCTGACTTATTATCACAACTTCAGTGGTCTTTCAATACCAATAATGTGTAGCCTCATGATAAATTTCTGCAACCATATTCCATGCTACAAATTATGCTGCCATTATGGAAGAAGCTACCTAAGTCTATTCCATGAAATTGCTCATCATGCTAAAATGTAAAAGTATCATGATATGGATCAGTAACCATTTTGGCATCTAATAAATCATAGTCTTAATAAAAATGATCTCCAAAACATCTGAATTTCCTATAGTTGAGCATATGGCCTTTTGTTATATATAGATATATCAAAATGCATTTGGTTGCTTTCTTATGATCCAAACTTAAGTTGCATAGATATCTGCCCAAGACCAGAAAGATAAATTTACTCCCACTTAATTTGTGATACACAAAATCATCTATTGTATTTACCTCAAAACCAAAAGAGATAATTGATGAAAAATGTGGTACCACGTATAGGATATCCAAAGTTGAGGTTGTTGAGTTTGTATATTATGAATAGGAGATTGAATAACATTGTTGATCACTGATTCATAATCTGCATACTACCGAAAGCATTAATAGGAATCAAGATTGATTCATCCTTAAGGCCAATGTTTTAACCTTGTTTCTCCCCCAAACTCAACATCCTCAAAGAATGTTGCTCTATCCAAAATGAATGGTCAATATCCATGCAATTGAGAACTAACATAATGTTCTCATTGCATTCCTTAAAGTTAATCTCATTTAGTAACAATCACAAATGTGATCAATGTTAACAGGTATAATACCATAATTCAAATTTTTGTTTTGAGAATATAGGCAAATCTACTTTCATGCTCATTAATCTATAAACCGTAATCAATAATTTCAATTTATGACATCTATACAAGGTATCAACACAACATTAATATCAAGTCTTTGGACAGTAATACTAACTTGCAAGAGATATCCTTATTTTAGAGATAAACATTGATAATAAATCATGTCAATTAACAAGCCCCTCTTTGGATTGACTTATTAATCACATGAAACCAAAAAATCATCACATGTTTATCACCACATACGTGTTTATTCAACCGTTTATTCGACCAAATATTAGTCTACCTTTGGGTCGACTAATACCCGCATTAATAAACACATTAACTATAAAATCTTGATAATAAGAATTGACAATATATCATGTCAATTAATAAGCCCCTCTTTGGATTGACTTGTTAATGACATGTAACCTAAAAATTGTCACATATTTAATATCAAACATGTGTTTATCCGACCAAATATTAACCTACCTTTGGGTCGATTAATATTCGCATTAATAAACACAAACCATAAGATTTAAGTTCTCTGTAATTAATTTTCACAAAAGAGACCACTTTGGTGATATATTGTGTCAATTAATTTACTTTGAAAATAAATAAACACGTCATAATTGTAGTTTATTGACAATTAACCTGAAATATATTGAATGTGTCTACCTTTAGGTCGAACACAGTTCAGCTAAACAATATCATAAAATCTTTAATGTAATTACAACCAAATTGATTAAAATAATAGAGATTATTTGGTAAAATTATCGTGATTGTTATATATTAGGTAGCCCAAAACCAAAGCATATAATGCATAAGGATAATTCTACTCCAAGAATACTTTACTATAATAAAGTCTAAAAGCTTAATTTGTAACCATAATTACGCTATTAACGAAACGGCAAAGCAATAACTTGTTGCTTGAAACATGGAGCAGAAAGGTTAGCATTACTTAATCACGTACAAAATCTCAAAAGCATTGTAAAATACACAAACTTATAAGAAAATTAATCTAATCCAGAATATGAAGCATGTGTGATACTAAAACACCCATTATGTTTATTTGAT